TACTTTTACCTTGACTTTTACCCGTCCTAATTATTATATTTATGAACTCAATTTAAAAGTAATTTAGCGTGTCTGCCAATAGCAAGCGCATCTATTAGTTCACAGAGAACAACATTTGCAGCTAATGCTTTGAGGTTTATGTGTGGTTTAACTCTGTGACGTCACAATAGTTATTTTAAGCTTTTCTACTTCTTCAGAGTCTATTTTCAAGTGAGTGTAATCACCTGTTAAGTGGAAGCAATCATCATGAATATTTCAGGTGGTGAAATTGGCGAACTTGGACTGAGGAGGCGAACGAGTGCTTCTGCGGCTGTGATGAAAAATTCACACAAATCAATCCTCATTTCTTTGGAGTCCGACTCATTTGCCTGCGTCCCAGTCATCGCGAAGAGATCCCAAACGTCAGGGTGTATTTGTGAGATTGACTGTCCAGATGGACATGTTTCCCTTGTCAGCGATTGACGCTGAATATTGCACTACCTGAAGAACGGTGCGAAGGGTTGTTGGGCATAATTAAAAGTGACATGGGTCGCCGCCGGAATCCGCCGAAATGTAATCAGCTTTAATTTAGAAGATTTGTCGGTGCTGGTCTTGTCTCGGCTCTTCGTTTTGTTAGAATGTCATTCTTGATTTTTGTGTGTGTAGTTCGGAGGGCACTTTGGAGTGCGGCCTCCTCAAAAGATCAAATTTCAGAGCTGCTCTCCCATCACCATCTCCATTCTCTGACGGTCGTTTCATTAGGAGGCCCACATAGGAGATTTTCCTCGTTTTTTACACGTCGGCCTCTCCTTCATCATTTCTTGTCTCTCCACTCCTTCTCTTCACATCTTCAATATGATAATAACCGGTAGCGCCTGCTGTCTTCTCTTGCGGTTCAAGGAACACCCGGTACCTGTCACTTTTCACATCACCTCACTATATGTACGTGTTTATTCAAGCTGTCATTGCATTGTTCCGTTCTCTATCAAATATTAAATCTGGGGTATGAGGCTCAAGACACTGACATGACAGGGTCGTTTCCTCGTATATAATTATTTTTCACACACAGCCCTCGACTTCTTTACCCATCCTCAACCTCAAATTGAAACCACAGCGTTCAAGAGATGAAAAGGACAAAAGAGGGGCTCTCATAGAGGAAGAAATTGGCTCGAAATCTAAGGGTTTGGAAAAAATCACTCGCTAGACTATAACAATGTATGACATTTCCATACATTTTTATGTATTTGAAAATTTTGAAGGGCCCAAGGATCTCAGTATTTTGAAAGAAAGAAAAAAAAATGCAAGTCAATTTCATTCATCTGACAATCCATGCAGCTTGCAAGATCATTTGACTACCCATGTTCAACTTTCAACTCCATTTCGTGCCCTACTTGTTGCCACTGACATTTCGAGCCCAAAGCGGGATTAAGTGGAAGCCGACCAGGCAAATTGGACGAGACACTTTAATTCAAAATCAGATAGGCAGCGAAGCATTAATCTTGAAAAACGAATGGCCCCTCAGGCGCGTAAGAATGGCCACAGAGTACAATTAATTTGTAAGTGAAAGGCTGCAAAAATGATAAATATGACATTATTGAGAAGGTAGTCGATGAGATGGAGAGAAAATCGGAAATAAGTTGAACCACCAGTTGCCACAAACAGTCATGTTTCGTGTCACGCGATATTATTTTCACGCTCCACCGAACTTTTCACACTTATGCCATGTGGCAGCCTCTCTTGGGGTGGGCCTCGTCTCCTGAGGAAAAATACAGGACATTTGTCCCTCTCACTGACACACCATTTTTCTCTGTGTGTCTCTCCTTGTCAGAAAAATAATGAAGAGCACTCACAAGGATTACAGAGTATGAGAACGGCTTTCACTCAAGCGAGGGGGACTTCACCATTGAGCTTTATTGTATTGTCTGACAACCACAAAATTGCCCTAAAATCGCTTGCAATTGAAACATTTAGGTGGTTGTATATTTTTTGAAATGTCGAGGGAAAGGGTCAGGATTCTTTCTACATGCAATTGCGGCAATTGCCTGGAAAGTATCCGGTTTTAGCGGCGAAAGTGAAGGGGATCAGACTGACTTGACAGGCATTCTATATCTACCGATACTCTACCGAAGAGATGTCTCATGACCCCTTCAATTGACCCCACACTTCCATAGTCAAGTCAACAAATTTTAATGGACGAAAAATACTCCATAAATCACAATTTTCTGACCCACTCCACGCAATCTATGGCGCGAAACCCTCTTGGGCAACAATCGAGTCTTGTCCCATTCAAAAAATTGTGGGAAGAAACTGGAACATGAGACCATCAACATGTGATTTATACTGCTCGGCACTTGAGATAAAATGTATCAAAACGTATGTCAAAATAGCATCATTAAAACATACAAGCCAAGAGCGATAAGGGGTTAAATCCACCCAGGATATATTGCTAGCTTTAGTGTCTATCAGCTATCAATCGTTGTCACATTGACAGTTGATTTGACATTTAATTGTCAGGATGCGTCTGCATCCCACAGGCAAAAAAGTCGCATTAAACTTTGTCGACGGGGAAGTTCACGATGGTGTGTCTGGGAAGCTGACGGCTGCGAGATCAAATCCAGTGAAACTTGTGTGTACAAATTCAGCTCCACGGGGCGGGGAGTGTGCTTGACACCCTGCTGAAACTGTCAGTGAAGCAACAGACATTATCATGACGTACCATCATTAGAACCGCCGCTCGCGAACAAGTGACAAGTGTCAGATCGCTTGAGTGGAACGAACCGAGTACACACTCGCCAATCTCTCAGGATTCTCCGTCAGAGGAATGCGGAGTAGGGGTGCACTGTGGCCGAAGTATACTGGCAAGTGAAAGTCCTCCATTCAATACATGAGCTGGGGAAAGAATTCATGGGGAAAATGGACAAAACCTCAGCCCGGATTATTAATTGATACGAATTAGCGATAGTGCATGTCCAGGGGTTGTGAAAATGTATGCATGGGGTTGTCCTTGTACACATTGGGTATGTCCTGGCAGATAATTATGGTATAATGACAGAGTGACAGTTCATAGGGTGGCGGCCATAAATCATGTCCGATATGAAAATAAGGATTTCCTCAGTCATATTGAGAGGGGGATTCCCCTTTATTTATGGCCGATGTCATCTGAATTCTGGCACTTGTGCAGACATACATCTCGATTTATTGTCTGCTATTACATCTCTGCAATTCCAAGAGCACTTTTTTCCAAGGAATGAGATATGGCGCAGGAAAGCGACACCCCAGGACTTTTCAGCTATCCTCTTAATTCCTCTCCACCAGTCAATAATTGTGTGTTTTGTGATGAACACAGCTGTCAGGACGATGCCTGGGAAGCGCATAAAGAAGGCTACAAATGATGACGACAGGCCATTATAGGGGATCATTGTCATTTGATACTCAGCGAGCAGCTCTCATGGCAATAAATCAGGGGGATATCCCAAGGGAGGATCGAGAAAATCAATGCCTCAACATGAGTAATGGTGTGATCTTTTGAGCTGGGTTTCCGACACAAATCATAAATTTCAAGTCTCTACCTTCAATCGTGGGATAGACAATTGATTTCCTTTTCTTTTCACCCAGTGATAAATTGCCCATAATTGATTACCTCTTCTCGATACTCAGGGTTGGTTGTGAGATCTTAAACTCACGATTTTACCATAATCTTAATCCACCCTTAGAACGTTGGAGCTCAAAGAGGGCCAACGGCCAATGCAGCTGAATGAAATGCGAGCTGAAAGCGCAATTATGGGGAGAGTGGCATGTGTTGGCATGTGGAGATTTGAAGCAACTCTGGAGGTGCCAATTACGATTTTTGACAGTAAATAGGGTTGCCGACATCATGCACAATATGCGATGTGTCGAGGTGAACGAGCATGACATGTTTTGACCCATTTCTTGCGGTCCCGAGGGAGTTTCGCAGACTCTTTCAGTGTATGGAATCCGCAAGCAGAATATGTACCTGCGGGCCCCGAAGTCATCCGCTGCGGCCCTGCCGTGGCGGCTGGGCAAAAAAGGCGCAGAAGGAGGAGAAGAAAAACGACGACATCCTGACAGGTCGACATATCCAGACGTATACACTCGAGGGCACATGAGAAACGATTTTGCAGAGCGATAGAACCGGGTGGCAGCTTGACAGAAAGTAGAATTACCACATCAACAACAATAGATTAGAGAAACTCAACGTTTCAACTTGTGCATTTTCCAAGGAAATGAATTTTATTATATGATATATTTGCCATTGCGGCGTGAGTGATTGGATGTTGAGAGCAGGTAGGAGAGTGCGCCAGTTTAGCCACTGTTCATGTCATGGACGGATGTCAGGAAATGCCAGAGTGCAATTTTGAAGCTATGCTCTCCCTCCTCTGCATTGTTGTGTCGAAGAATGTGACATGTCTAATTTGCTCGTTCACTCTACCAAAGGGGCAGCTCATTCGGCAGAAGCATGGACAAGGTTTGGAGAGGCAAGCAATTTTAAGTACATTTGGGGTAGATTTTGAAGTGTGAGTTCCAGAAAATTTAATTTTGAGTTTATGAAAAGTCAAAAAGAGAATTTTAAAAATTGCATATTGGTTTGATTATCTATTAATTCATATCTTCGAAAGATACAAGATAAAAAATGTATAATAGAATTGAAAACTTATAGGCATAAGGCACTCAAGTATGAAATGACTTACCCCTTGAATCTCCACTCTAGCGAATTTCCCAAAATCCTCGCCGCAAGTGAGATTTTCTCTGCAACGCAATAATGAAGTTTTTTTTTGGAAAAGCGGAAAGTCAGCGGGAGTATGACAGCGAATGCAAAGAGACTTCCAGACACGCCTGTCAGGATGAATAACATGCCCGTTGGGTTTAATGAGAAAAACAGTGGCACATAATTAATTTCCGTACACGTCAAATGAGAGACTTTTCCATGTATAGTTTATTATATACTTTATTCTTAAGCAAATATTCGTTATTCTCTAAGGATTCTTCCTTGACCTTCCTCAACTTCCATATATTATTTACACACAGTATTCAATTATTCTTCGTCTTCCTCGGCTTTGAAGAGAAATTCCGGCGATCACGAGAATCGCCGTATGGACAAAAAAGGATCGCGCGAATAATGGTTGTTGAGAAATTATGTCCTGAGATAACACAAAAAGTCCGTCTCACCCCGTCTTGAATCATTTATCACAGCAGAGAAACATATTTTCTTGGAGAGAAGGACGCTGGGTTTATGGATGCACCGCCGCGGCGCCCAGGCGTTGGCCATAGAGCGCATAGGGTGAGTAGTAAGGGCCCAGAGCTGGGTTGAAGGGCGGATAGGATGACAGAGCGCCGGGCTTGCTGTAGGGGTGGTAGCGGCCGGCGGACAGTGGGCTGAGCGGCGGCGTGGGGTAGGCTCGGTGCAGGGCTGACGGTGAGAAGAGCGGCCCCAGGGGGCTGAGCAGGGCGGACTGGGACTGGGCCAGGGCAGCTGCGGCCGCGGCCGGATCTGCCAAGCTAGCGGTGTGTGTGCGGAGGTGTTGCAGCAGTTCCTCAGACGAGGAGAACCGCTTCCCGCAGTAGGTTTCCCCTGCGATCCAGTTGCATATGTAGGGTCTACCGAGCTGCGCATAAGGATGACCCGGCGGCAGGCTGGACTGCATGGCGGCCATGGCGAGGCCGTACTTCTGGTGCTCGCACTGAGTACAACCTGCCGGGCAGGGCGCGCCCATGAGCATCTGTTGGTTGTGTGCCGAGTACTGGCAGCCGGTGCAGTACGGATCCTTGCACACTGGCACCAGAGCCTCGCCTCCAGTCGGAGTCTTTACGCGAGCGTAGCTGACGTACGGCCCGGGGGCTGTGGAGGTGGGAGGATATCCAGCAGCCGCGGCGAGCATAGCGGCGTGATGATGAGAAAAGGCCCCGGCAAAGGGTGGCCTGAACGCCGGATTGGCATGCTGCTCCAGTCCTGGTGGACAGCACAGTCCTCCAGTCAGCGGATTGATTCCGTAGCCGGGTTTGTAGGCCGAGCCCAGAGGCAGGTCCTTTGGGTGGCCCTGCAATACTTCCATTCCGGACCTGATAATGGGACTCTGGCCGCGCTGCGAAGAGCCCGCCGGCGATGTGCTCTTGCACTCCTGACCAGGGGTGGCCTTCCCATTCACCTCCACGTTGGAGTGCACATTGATGGGTGAATCGGTCTTTTCACGCGACGGGGCACGGGCACTCGCGTTAGCACTTGAACCATCATTGACACTACTGGCTTTGGAGGAGGGGCGCTCCTCGGCACTCTTCTTTGTTAACACATTCGCCTCGTATGGCTTAAAAGCTAATTTCACTTCTTGCGCTGTCGATTGCTTTGTCTCCGGCTTCGCGGCAGCCGACGGGGACTTGGCCACAGCGGACTCGGTCTTGTTCTTGCTTTTATCCACACTGATCAGGGACTTGACGTTGCTGGAGTCTGCCCCGATCTGACTGCATGTCTGGGCGAGCATCGCCAAGGGGCTCTTCTTTGCGTCCAACTATTAAATACAAGGGTTGGGGGTAAGTATCAATATTGCGATAGAAACTTGGATTGAGGTCTCGCAACTCACCGTTGTTGGAAGTGGTGATAGATAATCTGGCTGAAGGTATTGATTATTACCGATGGTAATCATTCCTCCACCTTCCAGCACAACCATTTGGTATCGTTTCTGTCTTTAGCAATGTTTCTCTCGACAACACACTGGTTTTCTTAGTAAGCTCAATTTCTAATATAATCCACTTTGGAAGAGTTTGGCTGAGACTTAACACTTCACAAATTTCTGAATAATTTCCATCGAAATCGACGTGAGAACTGCGATGTTGATACACTGAACAACAGACTCGAACTGACTCCTCGACTGCCCGACGAGGTGCCGTGAGCCGACAACGAACGATTCGTACCATCATGGCCCCTTCTTGTAACCAATGAAATGCCATGCGCACTCCCCACCACTGCCAATCGATACTGCAAGTCAAACAGAGATGAACATAGGGCAGCGCTCAGCACAGTGGAAGCAAGAATGGGTCGAGCAGTTGTGTCTTCGCATGGATGCGACAGCAATGCAAGTCGCCTTCGCAGCACACCAATCAATCGTCCAACACAGTGGGAGCTCACTGTGTGCCATGGACTCTTTCCTTCTGCCTACCACCCATGTTGAGCAGCACTTGAGCAAGACATGCATGGAGGAATAGCTGAAGGCGCGTTTGAGCCGCCGCCACTCTCGAGCTGCCCCTGCCTTATTTATTGAAAAATCAACATTTCAAAATAGTCTGACATCTAAAGTATGTTATCATAATTTCATGTGAATGATGTCAAGTGCTCAAGTTGATCTCGCATTTTCCTCCTCTTCTCCTTCGCTGCATCTCACAGACAGTCGCAGCCCCTTGCCGTTGTGAGATAACAGGCGGAGGCCCATAAATCCCCCTGAGATAAGGCGCAATGAAATCCCAGCGGAGGGAACTAATCAAATTTCAGCCCAGAGATTTATGTCAAATTTTATTGAACACCTCCTAATGTGTCTCTGCGGCTGTCTTCACGCCCCGATAATCCCTGTCGCCACCAAGCCTGCACCCAAGTGATAGATGAGACATGGACTTGTCATGTTTCTCCAAAACTTCCCATAAAGAAATGCCACATCAGATGTCACACGCATTCTAATTTTACAATCAAACGACGTGTGGAGACACTTTAAGCCTGGCGCATTGGAAATTGATTAGGCTTAATTGAAATCAATGTTGATAATTACACTTAATCTTAATGGATTGTCTTTGGGGGCGAGCAAAAAGGCTTCAACATTGTGAAACACTTGACACAACTCGGCAAATCTTTCTTGTAAATCTCTCAATTAAAAGGCTAGAGTCTTGTTTCACTGGCGATGTTCTGAAGCCCACATCTTGTTCGCCATCAGAGAGGAAACGGCATCGAATCGACTATAAATTATTTCACTCCCATCTTTCCCATGTTGGACTGGTGGTCATTTATTTCACCAACTAATTTATCCCTCAAAAGGCGGATAATTCCTTGAAAATGCCCACAAGGACTTTGTAACATTTATCGAAGGAAAAAGAAATAATAATTGCATAGAGTTTGTAAAATTTGTGGACAAATTTGCGTCGAAACGAAAGTACGGTTGAAAAGCCAGCGAACAAAGCCCTGACCAAAGGGTTAAGAAGGCTGCATCATAAATTGAGTTGAAGCATTTTGCAATTATAAATGAAGAGTGTAATTATTCAAGCATCTTTTGAGTCATTGAATCCAATTCATCATGCATTATTGTATACACACGAACACATCTCTTTTCATCTGCCATAGTGGGCTTGATGATGATGATAATGATGATGAAAGATGAAATATTGTTTCTTATTATAATGTGTAAGAATTGAGGTGTGTTGTGAGAGTGAAGAAAATATCTCCTGACGATGTTAATAAATTCTGGTGGGACGGAAACCGCCGTCAAATTGTGAGTTCATCCATCGAGGGAAAGGGAACATTTGTGACTTTGGAAAAGAATGAAATATGTAAACATAGCCTTTTCTATCTCATCCTGATTCATCGTTCTGTTCTGGTATTCATGATTCCGTGTTGGAAATGTCGAGGATTTCTTATGAACAATAATAATGCCATATAAACTGCATGGGGCTTCACAATTACGTAATTTATCTTTTTCGAAAATTTCAAAACTTGCCGACACTCTTACCATCGCGTTTCGGCTGACAAGGGGGCGAGAAAGGGACGGCGACTTGAAAGGAAACGACCAGAATTGCCGACACTCTTGTTATTCTGACTTGGATATGAGATATATTCTTTTAGTGTTTGATTGCTCTATAAACATCGTGTTTGGCTTTGCTCGCTCTGGGGAATCCACTTAGTTAATGGTGGCTATATTCTCAACGTTCTGCCTTGTGTAAATCACACTCTCACTCTCTGTCACACTCCATCGTTGGGTGTCAACGATAGGGTGGACGTCCAGTTGAGTGTCTTTTGTTACTGTCTACGAGATATTTGACGAAAATAACGATTAAAATTTGAAAATTCTCAAATACAGTAAAACACCGTTCGTCTTCCTCTACTTACGCATTATTGTTTTGTGTCTCAGGTGTTTCTTGATCGATTTTGATTAACTGTTCATCTAAACGACAAGTAAAAAGCCAAATTTGGAAAACTCAGGGGCTGATAATTAGTATTTTTCAAATCACTTTAGGTTTCTTTCAACAAACGTAGAAAGTTTGCGTGAGCGAATGACTTGGAACATGTAAAACTCAGTAAATGGCAGCAATGAAGCTTTCCCGAGTTCATCATGTCCTCTTCCTGTCACATTTCACCACAATGTCAACTGGTGAGGAAGTGATGAGATTTCCTCTCATGCTGTGCAATTCCGCCATGAACATCTTCATTGCTAATCGATCCGCACTCGTGATTTCAAGCGTCCATCCCAGCGTTGGGATGTCATGCGAGACGTCGAGGACGAAAGGGTGTGAGTGTGATATAAAAGAGTGTTCATGTCGCCTCACTCTAATAATACATTTTGTGCAGTTCAATTCTTCATGACATGCGACATGAATCCATTCTGACAACTGTCACAAACAACATGAAGCGCAAGAGAATCGTGGCGAGAGTGGAAAAGTCTCTGCGTTGGCTTGACGCTGTCACTTAGAAAATATTGTCAAGAAAGTTGGGTAAGCGAGCAATTTTAAATGACACTGAAATACGGGAAATTTATTAAATTTAGCGGTATGCACGTCTCGCAGTGCATAAATGAGCTTCTATGCTGAATTAATTATTTGCAAAATAGCTTGCAAATCGTGCTGCATCACTCATTCCACGTCACGAGTTGCCATTCTTTTTTTCCCCGCTGTGAAAGATGGTCAAAGTTGGACTGTGGGTGAACAAGAAATCAGGGAGTGGAGACAAATTTTTATTTTCCATTTATATCCTGTCTGGCGGTGAATGTGTGTAAAATGCCAAGTGACAACTGTCATAAGCAAAACTCCTGTCAACTATAATAAAAGTCCTGTTTCTGGCGGAATGCAAGAAAAATACCATCGCGCCAAATACGTCAAGCAGCAAAAGGACAGTCATGTTTAGCAATTATATCAGTTCACTCTTATATTTCATACCTCGTGCAATTTCACATATCTCTACTCCTAAATTGAGGGTCTTGAAATGTTTCCATACGCGCCCTGTCCAATAAATAACACAGCATAAAGGCATAAAGGATGCGACAGGGTATGAAGAAAAAGCGTGACTAAATAAGCGGATGGCTAAATGAGAAGAGAGCCGCATTTAGAAGAATGACTTTATGATGGTCAGTAGTTTGATTTATTGCGCTGCATTTGTCCATGTATATATTTTGCATGTGAAGTGTCATAAGATCCCTTTTGTTGTCCTCGCAGCCATTAGGAGGCTCACCCTGGGAAACCCGAAATGCGGTGTCCCTTCGCAAAGGCCGCGCGATCAATGAACCACGGCGGGAATATTCATGAAAAGTCTCAGAAGGAATCCCTCCTTGTCAGTCATTTTCAAACGTTAAGTGGTTTTCAGTGTGATACACCCTACTTTGGCAGGGGGCCCCTCCAGAATTACCAGCAATTCATGTCTCCTTAACACCAAAGGCTGTCTTTTTCGCCATTTGCCATGTCGCTGTTTATTACACTTAATAACCCGTTCCCACTCTCGAGGGTTCCACGGAATTTCCTTTCTCAAATTGCTATTTTTCACTATGATTCACACAAGTTGGCCCCCTCGCTAGCATTGAGTGCCTTCAACTGTGGGAAGAAATGCCCTGCCAGGGGTTAGGAATGCCTGACGTTTAAGGAATTCATGAAATGTTCATTGAATTAAGACATAATGTTTCTCAAGGGGTTGAAAACTAACGATTGCAATTTGAGTATAAATTGAATTTGAGGAGTAAATCCCACTCAGATCAGTATACAATTAGACTAGGTCTTTAGTACAGTTCACAACATTGGTGTCAGAAGTGGGATTCCAATGAATTGAGACTAAAGTTCAGTCTGTCGTCTTGTTTTGCGCTTGCTTTTCGGAAACTTTGAGGTAACATTTCATGAAACTATCAACTCTTGTCGCTTGTGTGAAGGGCTAAATCACTATTCAAGTGAGAGTCCTGAGGTGAGAAGGAATCTCGTCATCTTTGTCATTTTCTGGCAGCACCTCAGGAAGAAATTTCCATATGATTGCCTCAAGGGGAATGATTTCAATTGACAGGGAAAAGAGTGCAGAGATAATTGATGGTTTTCATGAGAGGGCCCTTCACCAACAATCAAAACAGACCATTAGCCGTTATGAGTTGTGAGAAGCCCTGAGACTCATTAGCATTTCAAAGGCAATTTCCTTATCGGCTCAGATCACATCCTCGAGGAGTACCATAATGCAATTAAGATGATTGCAGTTTGAGGTGCATTTAGTAGAAAAAGTTTTATTGTATGTGGAAACTGGTGACTTGCTAGGCCGGGGGTGTTTTATTGCCCGGGACAACTGGGTGTAAATGAGCAAGATGAAAGGCCTGCAGACTTTACAGCCAGAGCCATTTAGTGCCGATTGAATTACAGTCCGAGAATGCTCCAGTTTTCCATGGAAAAATGGGCTGAAAGTGATTTAAGCTGGGTGTTGGGATGATGTTTTCTTGGCACAAAAGATGCCGCATTTCTTGCTAAACATGGAAATTAACGTTTTGTATATGCGAGGGATTCCTTTGGAGGCAAGAAGGCATGAGAAAGAGAGAAAAAGTCGTTAATGTATATCAACTTAAGTAGTGTTTGTTGTTTCACAAATTCACTTCTTTTCTGCCCTCCTCAACTGATGCCCCATCAACTGCTGTGTTTACT